CTCTGACCGGGTTCTACCCCGAAAACCCTCATCTCATGGGCCCTGGGTCCCTTGCTATCTATATCAAAACCTTGTAACTGATTTACTGACTTTTGTTACTCTGATCTCTTCCTATGCACTCTCGGACGGGTTGGAACCACTAATCTAATAACAAACAACTTTGGAACACCAACATATATAACCCTAAACACCTATCTACAAACCCTCACCACCTATCTACAAACCCTCACCACCCATCCATAAACCCTCACCACCTATCTACAAACCCTCACCACCCATCCATAAACCCTCACCACCTATCTACAAACCCTCACCACCCATCCATAAACCCTCACCACTGGCATCTCTCGGAACATTCCCAACTTCTAAACCTCGATCTCCGTATAACACACGATCCCTATCACTAATGACCTTATCACTTACTATACAATCGTCCTGTATATCACCTTCCTAATACCCATCATATATCTATCCTCCTGACCCTATAATTCCCATATATTTCTACCGTAATCATCCCTCTCACCTGGAAATACACTGAATCAACCATGGAACCCGGCAACATGACAACATATATTTGGCCATCGTCTTTATTACTTGAATACGGAAAACACGAACGCCGCTCTCGATTTCCACCTACCCACCACGCTCAACTCCTTGATATGCTCTCCGTAACCAAATAAACTCTTCCGTAATCTGCGCTCGCTTTCGTCCACAATTCCGCGCCATCTGTCCCAAATACCGAATCAACTCTGTATCGTTCGCCCGGATATTATCCACCCCATGCTCACTCAATCGCTGGAACCACCGTTCTCGGATTACTGCATTGGCATGGGGCCCATGCACCATCATCGCAATCGTCGGAATCAATGCCGTACGATATCCATCACATGCCTGGACCGTCTGCGGACTATGCTCCGTTCGCCGATCGCTCCGCGGACATATATACTGCGGCATCCCACACCAAAAATGCGCCGTGAACCCATCGTACGAAATCTGCCGTCGAATCTTGACCATCCAATCCTTACTGGCCTGCGCAATCTTGCCGCTGCCCCCTTCACCATACCAACACTTCCACATCTCATGTCCATCGTCACGGCCTCCTTGGCTGCATGTCCAACAACGATCAACCCACTTCTCAATCTCACGGATCAAAAACTCTTCATCCTCATATTGCTGACCGGCCCTCCCATCCGCCTGCTGGCATAATTCGGCCCGTTGGATATCCTGTTGCCGAAATGTATGCTGGATGGCGATTGGTACGGCCCGGGCCATGGTGCTGGGAATATCCTCCGTCGGGCCGGCCATCACCGGCTCAACCGCCCCAACATCAACCATCGGGTCATCGGCGATAACGGGGGACGCGGATCCAATCCGGGACTCCTGGTCTTCCCAATTGGGCATACATCCATCACATGCGGACTCGACCACCCGATCACCACATCGCTGTCGTTGGTATTCCTCGATGGGTCCATCCAAATACCCATCCAATATCACTCGCCGGCAACCCGTCACCGCCGCCTCCATATACTCAACAACATGGGCATGGTCGTCCGGGGGCGCATCGTGCATCCAAAACGGACGGCATTCCCGCCCCATCGTCTGACCCTCGGCCTGGATGATAATCGCCTCGCTGGGCTGTCCATCACGCCCGGCCCGCCCACTTTCCTGCGCGTAATCTAACATGGTCCGGGGCTGACCAACGTGGATCACACTGCGGATATCGGGGATATCAATCCCCATCCCTAACGCACTGGTGGCCGTGATCACCGCCCCGGCCTGGTGGCGGAATGATGCCAAAATCCCTTCCTTGTCCACCTGCTTGCTATGGTATGCGGCACAACCTAATAACTCGGCCAATGCGGTGACATGGGCCCGGACGGTGGCATATATGATCACCCGGCCGGGGTACGCTCGGCGAACACGGTCCTGGATGAACTGGATCACACTCCGCATCTGCACCCACTGGAACGGATGGTCATATCCATCGTCTACGGGGATCGTATGGACACGATATGCGATATTGGGCCGGCTGGTGTGGCCCCGATATAATACCACTTGATCCCGGACCCAATGCATCCGATGGAATAATAATTCCTCGCTGCGGGGGGGGCAATGTCGCGGTCAACATCACGATCTGGGTGGCTGCGGTTCGTAACTTGCCCAACTGCTGGAATAATGGCCGGAATCGCTCCTGTTGACTTAATACCATATGGCACTCGTCCACCACAATCCGATCTAATCGCTGTAACATCCGCTGCCGGGTCACAAAATCGGCAAATGCATCGCTGTCGGTGCTCTCGGGCGTGATCAATACGATGGATACCCCATCGGGTGGCCGTCGGGGGTCCCATACCGCACATGAAATCCCCAATCGCTGGCATCGTGCTTCCATGTCACCGCGTAATGCAATCAATGGAACAACCACGATGGTTAACCCGGCACGGCCACTCACCCACGCGGGCAACATAAACAACACACTCTTACCTCCCCCGGTGGGCATGACCGCCACAATGGGGCTTACCCCATGCTTGATGGCTTGTAATACGGGACCCTGTTGCCCCCGCAATGCTACGGTGTTGCTCCCCATCATGTGCTGGAATGCCTCGTCTATGTTGGTCTGGTGTAAATCATATCGACGCTGCGTACGGGCCTCGGCCGTTTCGACTTCCCATGGGTTGGGCTTACGCTTGGTGCCGGGGGCCCGGCGGTCATGTTCGATACGGGTGGACTCGAATCCTAAAAAATAATGCCAATCCTGGCTCACCTGGCGGAATAACTCGCGGTGCCGGGCCGTGGTGTTGGGATTCTCCATCATCATCCGGCCATATTGCGTCCCGGCAATGCTGGCGGAATGCGCGGCCTGGATATCCGCAATGAATGCTCGGATCCCATCATCATCCATGGATGTCTCGTCGTCAATGTCGGGGGCCTCCTCCTCGGTGTTGGCCTGGAACTGACTGCTGGGGCGTAAATACCGCCGGCTGATGGCGATGGCGATGTCACGGTATGCCTGTAATCCCAACTTCTGCCCATCCAATCCAATCGCGGTCTCGCGCTTCAATACCTCCCGTAACCGGACGCTACTCCACTCGGTCTGCCGATCGGGATCCGGGGACCATACATACTCGGCCCGTCGACCGATGGTGGCGGCTTCGCCCCGTATATGCCGCTGATATGACTGCATCTGCTCCACAAATGGCAATACTAACCATAAATACCATATGACCAACTCACCAATCTCCCGGGGTAAATATCGGAAAATCACCTTGGTATCATTGGCCACATGGAACCCCTTATGGTATCGACTGACAAATGTGACCATGCCATCCTCAATGAATATATTGCGGCGCTCTCGCTCACTGTTACGATGCCGGATGCTCATTAACTCGGGACCCCGGCTGGGTTGACCGGCACAAACATGGACGGCCACGCTTAACCGCTCACGGAACTGGCTCACCACTCGAAAAAACCGATCGATGGCGGGCATCCGGAACCCGGCCCCGTGGGACTGTACAAACTGACGCTGTAATCGGGGCTCGTGGCGGATACGCTCCATGAACCACGTCGGACCCTGGACCGGCCACGATGTACGTAAATCCTGTAAAAAACTCCATCCGGTGGCACTCTGCGTGGCATCATCGTACAAATGATCCCACGGGATGGCTGGGGGCGGGTGATCGGTGCAAAACATCAACTCGTGGACCAACTGCTGCCGTAACCGGCCAACCAACCCATGCACAAATCCGCGGAAATGGCCCATGGTAAAATGGATCTGTTTGTACAACAATTCATCTCCGGACTTCCACCCGATATGACCCTCGCTGGGGGTATTCATAAATATCGTCCGTCCGTACGTACGTAAATCTAACCACCACTGGACGGGGCCATTGGTCCCACGAACCATGAATAAATCCACCAAATATGTGACCCATTCGGGGAACGTTCGGTCGGGATGCTGGCGCTGCTCCTGTGTCAATGCTCCTAATATGTCATCGCTGGTGGGGGGGGAACTACGCATGGCCACCGGGGATGGGGGGGGCACTGCCATATCCTTCATCATCGTGGGCATATGCCTCATCGATGCCGATCATATCACCTTCAAACCATGGCGGGTTCTGCTGCCCGGCGAACCCACGACGGATCTCCGATGACCGGGGGTCTAACCGCAATGCTTTGTGCAAAATAAAAAACCGCGCGATCTTGATCAAACTGGATATCCGGGGGGGGAAATTCTCGGGCGTGGCCCAACCAAACTGCCCGCATCCAATCACGGCGGTGGCACAAATCATGGCACATCCATATTCATCGTTGCGGATCTTCTGGCGTAATAAATCGATGCAAAACGTTAATAATGCATGCTCGATGGGACGAATCTCGAATGGCTCGGGCTCATCATCCTCGGGGTCGGGACAACTGGCCTGGGCCTGGGCATGGCGCCACACGGCATCCCATAACTGCTGCTGTCGGGGGGTAAATGAATACTTGGGTGATTCCCAATCATGTTCAATCTGGGATGGTGAATCAACCTGGGTGTCTGATATCGGGTACGGACGTGATCATACCTGGGTTCGTGCAAAAAACATCATAATCTGCTGCCACGGTGCCACATGCTTTTGAATGGCGGTGGCATCTAAATATGCCAATAATGGCTTATGTGGACTCTCGTCCTTCATCGTACGGACCACATCAATGCGTACTAAATGCCCGCACGCCTTGGCGATCTCCTGGCTCACCGATGCCAATCGCTCCATGGCCTCCCAAATGACCAATGCGATACGCTCTGGTCCCTCGGCATCCTCCTCGGGGCGCTGGGTACTCTCGAATAATGGCTGCCGGGGGGGTCCCTTGTAAATACCGAACCCACCCCGTCCGATTCAACCATGGCGTGGCTTCATCTAACTCCCCGGCCTGGATGATGGTTTCATGGGCCTGTTGATCTTGCTGCTGATACTCCTCAACCATTTGCACTAACTGGTGAATCCGGTCGGGGTCTTCCACGGGGTCTATGGGGGGGCTCATTGGGATTGGGCTGCACAATATGAATATAATGTGAACCGGGGCCTTGGCTGAATATACGCTGACACGCAACGGCTCGGCTATTGGCGTTAATGGCGGCCTGGATGGCTTTTTCCTGTCTGGGTGTGGGACGACCACGGCTTTGCTGTACACGATACTGATGGGCCTCTATCCAATGTGCCTTCATCGTACGGATCTGGCGGCATGTATATACCTCACATTGCTGGCACAATAATCCATCCTGATAAACGGGTAACTCGGGGATGGGTTGATCAATCTGGCGGGGCCAACTATCCACCTCTGGGTGATCATCAATATGATCCCACTGCTGGATCACTCTGTCGATATACTGTACCCACGAAATGGGTATCCGATGTACGGTACTACTTAAATGGGCCTTGATCTGTCCCCGGCGTACGGCACATTGACATTTCTGGCAAATCAACACGCGAAATTCGGCATTGACACAAAATAATTCGTGGGCCTGGTATTCGGTGTCCATGTCGGATATGGAAATCTATATATCGGCTGGTATTGTATATCTGGGAAATGGGATCAACTCAATGTTGTTCAAATGGACCCAAAATAAAATGGGATGATGATGGGGGATCTGGGAAAACCCCCCCTGAAATTTGAAACAAAAAAAAACAAATCCTATGACTAAACTACATATGGTGGTTGTTGATGTTGGTGGGTTTGACTGGTCGCGACCGGCGGCTGGTGGTTACCCCATCAAAAAATCTTGCTACTTTGTGGGGGACAAAATCGATACTGGATATGCTCTGATTGTGCTTAAATTTGGCTATGGAATAAAACTAATACTAAATTAAAATATATCGAAATCTGGAAACTCTACGACATTATTTTGCTAAATTCAATGGGGGTTTGAAATCTAAATTCAATGGGCCCTGGACCCACTTTTTTCCCCCATACTTAACAAAACCCTAAAAAATTCAATGGGCCTCATTGAATTTACCCCCATGGGATAGAACCAATAGTATTGATTATATTAGTAATGATATTACTAAGTATATTAATAATAATAATATATTATATACCATATCTGATACTGGTATTGAAAATCTCTATAGACCACTTACAAAGAGTCTATTACCATTTATATTAACAATAACCAATAATAAAGAACCTAATACGTTAAAACAAGCCCTACAAAGCCCTGATTGCCTATTATGGAAAAAGGCTTGTATAGAAGAAAATAGGGCATTAGTAAGCCAAAAAACATGGGATATTGTAGATATCCCTAATGATATAAAACCAATACCAGGACGCTGGATTTTTAAGATGAAACCTACTATTAATAGAATGACCAACAATACTAGTCATATTACTAATAGCGATAATACTATTCGCTATAAGGCTAGGTGGGTCATACAGGGTTTTAATCAAAAACTAGGCATAGATTTCCTAGAAACCTTCTCCACTACATGCCGTACAGAGACATGGCATATGCTATTGATAATAGCAGTGAATAAAGGCTTATATGTATGGCAATATGACGTCAAAAATGCTTTTTGCCATGCTAATATTGATACTAATATATATACTATACTACCTATAGGACTATATACTGACACAAAATATCAAAATAAGTGTGCAAAATTGAATAAGGCACTCTATGGTTTAAAGCAAGCTCCCAGGCTTTGGAACCAATACTTAAAGACAGTACTAAAAACTATGGGTTTTAGAGTATTTGTCTATGATGAAGGAATTTTCATAAATGAAGAAATGAGGTGTATCCTTATTTGTCATGTTGACGATATATTAGTCCTACACCATGACCTTACCTATATAAAAAATCTAAGAATATCAATATCTAAATATATTGAATTAGATGAGATAGGTCAGGTGACTACCTTCTTAGGTAATGATATATATATTGATTATAAATCAAAAAGATTATATATATCTCAATCAAAATATATTGATAAAATTCTATCAAAATTTGATATATATGACAATAATAACTATAAGCCTAAGCAGACACCTGGGGAATCAGGCATAAAACTATGCAAAAACCCTACTACTGCTAGTAATACTGATATCAAGCAATACCAACAAGAAACTGGGTCTATACTATATCTAGCCTTAAAAACAAGGCCAGATATAGCTTTTGCTATATCTAATTGCTCACGATATATGTCAAATCCTAGCAAAGATCATTTTAAAGCAATTGCCTATATATGGTGCTATTTGCTACTATATAAAAATCTAGGATTAATATATAATTGCTTTGGTAATAACCTCTATATCAAAGGTTATTGCGACTCTGACTGGGCTAATGATATTAATAATCGAAGATCTACTACTGGCTATATCTTTAGCCTATCAGGGGACCTAGGACTGACCAATCCTATCTCATGGAATAGTCAGCTTCAAAAATCAGTGGCCTTATCAAGCTGTGAAGCAGAGTATATGGCCCTAAAAGAAGCTACTAAAGAAGCAATATATTTAAACAATATATTTCAATATATTAATAATATATTACAATTAGGTTATAATAATGATATACCTCTTATCTTATTAGATAATGAAAGTGCTGCCAAATTAGCAGAAAACCCAGAATTTCATAAAAGATCAAAGCATATTGATATAATATATCACTATACAAGAGAGGCTATACAAAATAATTTAATAAAGATAGTGCCTATACCATCGAAAGATAATATTGCTGATATCTTTACAAAGAATACTACTAAAGATATATTTAATAACCTAAAATCTAAGGTTGTTTCATATATTAATAAGAATATGATATAATATTTTATATATATTCACTTAGTAATCTCTATATTATTATATAATATAAAGATTATGGGGGGATGTGAATATATAAAGATTAGTTAAAAGACTTAACTATTCTCTGGTTAAATATCTTAACCAGAAGCCTTATCAAATATAACTATTATCGTTAAGCTTAACTAAAAAGCCTAACTATATGATATCAAAATATCAAAATATATTTCAGATGCTTGGAGTTCTGCCAAAAGCCCAAATAGGCCTAGTCTATTTGATCACACCGCTGATGAATAATATTCTGCCCAAGGCCTAATCAGGCCTAGTCTACTGTGGCTTACCGCCCAGGAAATTTAACATAAAAAGGGCCTGCACCCCCCAGCAAACCTATCTTCATCATCATTCTTATTGATCTCTTTCATCTCATCTTCTGATTACTAAGCTCAAGACCAATATTCTAATATAACTTCCTCTTTTGGTAATCGGTGAAGATATTCAAACATCCCCTGATGCTTGTAGGACTTTCTGTCTCACAATTTTAGTATAGACTATTATAGGGTTTAAGTACTCCTTTTTATAATCTATTATATAGTATTTTAATAACTATAGTAGCTAGAGTATAGGGAATCTTAAATTCTAGATATTACTATACTTTATAAGAAACTATTTTAATATACTATAGAGATATTACTTTAGTCTATATTCTCTAAATATACTCCTACTTCTAAACTAGTACTCTCTCTCTTTTAAATAGAAATTCCTAAAAAAATACTCTCTTATATAGTAATAGATCTTTTTCTACTAATAGAGTAATCTTTTGTTTAGAGATAAGATATACTTCCCTTATTATTATAGAGATATAAGACTTTAGTAAATAATTAAATTTAGTTTAAATATCTAATATATAGTACTATATATAGTATTTCTTAAGATATTTTTATTACTAATTTAGATAACTAATAGAGATTATTCTATTAAAATTAGATAAGTTTATAGGTTATACTTTATCTACTTTTTTTTATAAAGTATATTAACCTATACTTAGTGATAAAACTAATATTTAGGATAGTTATTCTATAATAACTTTATATTAGATATATCCTTAAGAGAGAAGGTAGTACAATATTCCTAGAT